TGTTTACAGTCTACCTGACTGTACCCATTCAGAATCTAAAAAACACCTTCAGGCTTCAGCAGCGTCCATTATAAAACACTTGTGCTTTTAAGACAAATACACGCTGAAAATAATAATTCTAGACCTGACTCTAAGCAATCTCTTATGAAACCGGTCGGGTTTTCTCTGTTTTGAACTTAGGCTGCTGTTTGAAGGCATTCGTTTACTGGATCCTTGGACTGAAAAGTAACAGTATTATCCTTTACTAGATTAAAAATAAATTCTGCCAATTCCTTCCAAAAATTTTGGGTAATTTTACAATCAAAAAATAAATGTGATAACACCTCTTTCTCATTTTTACAAAAGGAGCATAAATCATCAATATCAGAGTATCTTGAAATTATTGATTTAACAGGGTAGATGGTATGCAAAATTTTAAAATGTATTTCTTTAGTTTTGTTATTGATGCAACGTTTTAGAACAATATGCCACGCTAGGGACCGTGTGATGATGTCATGAGGTACAAGAAGAACCGGATCGCTTTTTGAACCTGCTCTTCATAACAAACAGTTCGAAAGAACCGATTCGCGGACAAGAATCGAACTTCCCATCACCATCAGAACAAGACTGATGATGGAAAGATGATGATGATGAGTCATAGCCAATCAGAGCACTCAGCTTTTGGAAAGGTGCCGGATCGGCGGGAAAACGGTGAGCTCACGGGGCACAGAAATATCTCGCGGGGTGTTACAGCACTGATTGCAATAGCAAAGAAAAATCAAGAAAATTACAGGTACAAATAGAAACCCATCACTAACCGCAAAGTACAGTACTGTATCTTTAACACAGTATGCTTATCTCCTGTGCAGCTAAAAGCCCATTTTTATTAAAATGCCCCTGAGGAAATGTATGGGCTTTATTGCCATGGCAACCACCAGCGTCAGCCAGTGGAAAGGAAGCGCAGGTGGCTTGCGCTTTTTACGCACCGATTTACAGCCGTCTGCCGAACACGCAGCCTCGCTTTAATAAAACGCACTACACATATTCAGGTCCTCAAGAGAGTAACTTTCCGCTTAGCGACAGTCCAACGGGTGAAAGTAAGCTCGGTAGAGTGTATATATCACAGCCAAAACAACTCATTTAGTACACGAAAACGTACATTATTATTGCAGAACTTACGTATTTTCGCCACACTGGCCACCAAAAGCCAGCTGGCTATAATGTAAGGTGTTTGCACGTAGCTCCATTCCCACTGCACTATCTTGTAACCTCCTCCGTGGTGGTGAGACGACGACTCTCCGTCCTCCGTGCTCGGCGCCGCCGGTTCCTCCGCAGACCGGGCGAGCGCAATCCCGGGATGTCCGTACTCTTCTGGAATATAGCGGGAGGTGACGGGGGATGTGACGGCAGGTGCGGCGCTTACCTCCAGCTCTGGCGGCAGCGATGCTCCTGTCACGTAAAGGTCAGTCGTTGCATCACTAGCCACAGTTATGAACAGGAGCAAACTCAAGCCCCGCATCTTTCCGGCGTGTTCAACGGCGTGTCATCTTCATTTCTTTTATACACTATTGTTGCAATGGCAAGCCCTCCGCGGGACGCCCCGTTACCGGTTTACAACATCAACACACACTCCACTTGCCGGTAACTCGCGAAGGTGCAGCTGGCGTATAGGGACACGTGATTCGGTCGTGCACGAGGAGGTTCTATTTAAGAGCCGTCACCCATCATCCTCATCAAAATAAGTGCATTAAAAACTCGCATTATCAGCCTATTTCTACGTGCCACGAAAAAGTACATTATGGAGAAATATATTTGTTTTTATAGCAGAATAATCAACAAGTCGATTTAACCATTTACGCAGTATATTCTAAATAATAGATCACTAAATTATGATTGTAGCTGTCAAATGAATGAAAATAAAGACACATGCGCCCCCAGGAGGACAAAACAATAAAGAATTTCTGACATCTGCCCTTGATTGTTTGACTGGCAATAATAAAACAGGGAAAAAAGTCTAATAAAACATTTAATTTAATTTAATTTTAAACAAAGCTTTGTCTTTGGATTCAAGGCCAACATGTCAATGTGAAACAATTCTGAGACAGAATATAATGTCTAACAGAAGCACTGTACTTGCCAACTATTTCTTTGCAAACAAACGTTCTTTGTGCAGGTGTCAAGAGTGGTGACGGGGACGTACAGCACTGGGACACTAATAGTGATACATTCAGAGTGAAGAACACATGCACTCATGCAGACAGGTAATAAGGTCATACATAACACAACAGTGATTCATAGTGACTCTAAATTCCTACAGCATAACCCCCTGTGCAAAAAAGCAATACCAAGAAAATCCTTAAAATATGTGCTTGTAACAGTTTTTTAAAAATGCTACAGAAATGTTGTGTCTTTAACGCAACACTTCTCTTCAGCAAGAAACAGAGTGGTCCATCCATGCACATTTAACACCATAACAATGGTATAACTAAAAAGGTTAAACTTGAACTCATCAAAAACAGCACAAAAATAAATAGCAGGACAGAAATGTGATACAGCAGAATACAGGGCTGTGTTGTAGCATCCACAAACCTATCAAGAGAGCTCTGTGATTAATAAAAGAAAAACAAACATGTGACTTAGTTTATGTCTTCTCTAATCAAGATCTCCTTGGTAGTCAGGATATCCAGTTGAACATCACCCAGGTGCACATGGGTCAGCTTTCCAGACACAAATTAAACCCTGTCCAAGACTAAAGAGTTTTCAATGGTCAATCATTACTGACAGTGCCGTTTATTCCAGGGTTCAGCTTCATTAATGGGCACAGGAAACCAGTGTGTTTGCGTTACCCTATTGCACTGATCTCAATTACGGGCTTCCATGATCCTAACTTTGAGCTGAGCCATTCTAACAGATATGGCTAAAATATAAAAGTTTTGTCTTTTAAAAAATTCAGTATTAACTTAAAACCTTTCAAACCCTTAGATACATCTCTTTGATAAATTGTGCTCCAATCTATGCAATCTAAGGCTCTATACAAAATAATATGTGCATCTGGTCAAACTATATAGCATTTCATGTCACTGGATCATATTATATGCAGCTATTCTCCATCGGTAAACATGGGCTGTTATTTAATACTATGCCATTAAAGTTTGTACCAATCAAATCATGATATGTCTAATGGACATCATGCGCACACTTCAGGTCTCTGTATAGTAATGCAGCTGTTTGTATTTCAGCTGGAAGTACATGATTGAATTGTTCAGATTGGCAGATAGATTTAGTTGCAGGCATCCCACAAAATGTCAGCGAAGATCCCTTCATCACAGATCTTCCTGTCATTAATGCAGCTCTCCTTATGGCCTCATTGCTGCCTTGCTACAGTTTCCCCCACATGAGAACTACCAGCTTCAGACCTTCCCGTTAGTACTGCCGAGGCCAAGGGCCTGCACCACATCCACACTCAGCCCACTCTTCAGAGTCCTCCGCACTGCAACACAAACATCACACCATTAAAACCACAACACTGTATGTTATACTGTAATATAAAACATGTAACTCAGTGTCAAACAATCTAAATAATGCATAAACTATTTGCACATGTATAAAGACTGTCTGTCTTTGATGAACTAAAATGCTCTGGAATGGAAAAGGTAAAGCTTTCCTGTAGTTCAAACAGTAGAGCAAGGCGCTAGCAACACCAAGGTCATGGGTTTGATTCACAAGAACTAATAAATGTGTACCTTGAATGCAAAGTAAGTCACTTTAAATAAAAGCATCTGCCAAACGTATAAATGTAAATAATAAAGGTGAAGCTGCAGACAAATTAGCAAATATTTAGCAAAATTTTGTGGGCAAAAAGGGTCCATTGTCTATTGTCAATAATGTAGTGATGTATGAAGCACCTCTCACACAGAAGTCACTTTCAAACCAAGCAGCTATCTGTTGGTCAACATGGCAAACTCGCATTACCAACCTGAACCCTGTTGCAAAGTCTGCATGCTGAAATCTTTCCCTCATGTTAAATTCCCAATTTCGTGAATTACTATTCCTATAGAAATGACTGGATTTCGCCCACGAAAATGTCCCAAACAATGGTAAATCGACTGCGCTTTAAGACATATCATAGACAGCTTCAGCATATTATAAATAAACCTAAGAAATCTCAGCTGCATAGATTATTTTTCAGGTTTGGAGGTTTGTGTGTTTTCAGTTTCCATTTTTAAAAGTACAGTTGCAAGAATGCCCTACAAAAGGCTCTTTGTGGTGTTCGGAACAAGCAGAAGTAAAGAGGTGGCACAATATGGATCTGTCAGGGAGATTTAGGGGCTTTTGAAAGTTAAGCAATGGTTGAAGCCACATTACATTGTGTTTTGTACACAGATAGTGTTGAATGCAAACAGTGACTAAATCCTTAATCTCATTCCCCAGGTTTAGGGCTAAAACAACCCTCAGAACTGGTTATGAAGTTCAGTGGTCAAAAAAAGAAATAAAACATGCGTTGACAGTCTAAATGTACTTACATGATTTTCTGTTAAGCCGTGAGCGTTTCCGTGTTTTTGGACTAGACGCCCTCTCTGTGGGATTTTGGGTGACAGACTTAACCAGACGATCCATGATCTCATCTGTGGCATCGTCCTGTGAGCTGGCGCTGTCCTCTTTGGCTACAGACATGTTTGTACTAACCCTGCCTAAACCTGTGTAGAAATTACATTAGATCAATCATTACTTTGCTTAATTACTTTAAAAACCAGTCCGAGATCTTTCAAAGGAAGCGTTAAAGTGAATGAGGCTGGTATTACTTCTTTTATAATCATTTGTAAAAGGTTCACAGATATTCAGGCAAACACAAAGTTGGGTGCAAAGTTTGAATCAATGGCTTATTCATCCAGGTTTTTCCCATGTCTGTCTTGACAGCCCTTTGAAAATCAATTTAGTTCATAATAAATCTGTTAGTTGAGCAAACCCACTCCATGCAGCCTGTGCAGTAGCTCTACCTTCATCATCATCATCATCATCATCCTGTGCTGACTGGCTCTCTACTGGTGAAGTAGGAACGCTGTCAGAGTCATAAGGCCCCTCTGTGAGATCAAATTACCCAACCTTAATGCTCTCATTAATTATAAGTTTTACCATATATTAAAAGCTGCACAATTGCTTTATCGTTGCACACATCCATGCTCCAAATGCTGTACCTTCATGACTTAACTGAAGGGTTGGTGAAATTGGAGAAGTGTCACCACCAGTGCTAAGAATCTCTATAAAAGATCCCCAAATTGATAAAACAACAAAACTTAAATAATAATCATAATAATGGTAATCATCATCATCATAATCATCCAAACAATTGCAATATATGACATTTTAAAAAGGCAAAATGAAAAAGAAAAAAAACAAAACAAGGACACCGAGCTACATCTGTGTTTGATAACTGAATTTTTTTGATTGAAACTGGAGCCCTTAGTTCTGCTTCTGGAGATCTACCTTCCTGCAGATGTTACTTCTGTGACTGTAATTAAACAAATCTGGATCAACTAAACCAGGTGTGCGAGAGAAGGGATGGAACTAAATTCTAAAGGAAGGTTGGGTCCAAGCAGGAGGACTAACACTGCTCTAAACTGCTACACCTGGATTAGCGTTGTTGTGGTATCTTACTTCGTACAGCACGGCTCCTGCGCAGCTTGCTGTTGTCATTGTTGGCGATGAGCAGGTTTTTCATGTTCTCATGCTCCTCTTGGGCTGGCTCTGATTCTATTGTGGAAGAAACCAGGGATGGGCTATCCTCCAGAGACAGCTGTGGAACTGCTCCAGAAAACTTCTCGGTCTGTGAGAAAAAAAGATTTTGAATTAGTTATTGGTAATGTTTTTTTCTCAGTCTACTAAATTGACAATTGAGGGTGATACAGTGGGGTTGTGGACAGGGCCATGAAATGGTTCATTGCTTTAAATGAACAATCTGAGTTCAATACCATTTAAGCTGTATTGACAACATTTGTGGCATAATGTCGATCAGGGCTGATGTCAGGGGGAGGACAACTGAGAAAATTGTCCCAGGCCCCGTGACGTGGTGGGCCAGCTAAATGCTTGATCTTTATAGTATTGAGTGTTCAGAGGTGGACCATAGTTGGGTCTGGACCATGGTCTGGGTTTTGTCTAGCAATAACCTTGATGGCACTGAAATGATGAAGATGTGAAATATTCTCTTATTTTGTTTAAAGAGCATATTTTTTTCCATTTAGTACTGCCCAACAGAAGCCACACAAAATAAGTACACTTTACTCTAATCATTGTATTCAAAAAAAATGTTACTCCTGGAGGATTTTTCTGAAGATCAGTGGGCAGTTCAACAGCTCTGGACAATCAAGGGACTCATGAACAACTATCACAAAATATAAAAGCCGTGGCTCATCCAGGAAAAATCACACAGCATTAAGAATCAAGCATATATAAACTTTTGAACAGAGTATATATAAAAAAAACATTATTATTATTATTTTTTAAATATTATTATTCCTGTTATTTTGTTAAACTTACTAACTTTTTTCAGATTCTACAAGATATGTGTAAACTTAAGACCGTAACTGTAAATTGGAAGTAAATGAGCAATAATCATTAAAATAGTTTTAAAAATTATTTCAAAAAGACTAAAACATTATACATGATGGTATAAGATTAGTGAAATAAAATCAGAGGACATGCATTTTAAGTTCATGATTTTCCTCAAGAGCTACCATTCCACACCTCTGTGATCAGCTTGCCCCGGGTCTTGGTGCGCTCCCGGTGGACGGCACGTTTGCGTTTCTGGGTGAGGACTCTCTCTTGGGTGGTGCGGTACTCCAGGGCAAACTCACTGATGATCTTACAGAATTGAGTTACTTTAGTGTCCCGCACTGAGTAGGAGGGCTGACCCAAGTACAGCAAGAAAGAATGAAACCTGCAATGTGAAGGAAGTAGAAGTTAATATACTGTATGCTCCACTTCATCCTAATTAAAAAATTAGGCAGTCATTCATGCTCATCAACTTATGGGAAGCATCCAAATGAAGCTGGTATCATTTTGGTTTATCACGTTGAAGTATAAAATGGATTACAGTGAGTTTTTTTTTTTTGTGTGTTACCTATTAATAATGCGTCTGTGCACTACTTTCAGGATGGTGATCCTTTCAGTACAGTCCTTCAGAAATTCTGTCATTTTGTTTTTCGAGTTAGGTTTAGTTTCGTGTTTGGCCATTACTTTAAGGTTGTCCCAAGATGCTTTGCATTTTCTCTCCAACTGAATAAGGTTTTCAGACAACTGCTCAAAATCCACCTGTGGGAAAAGAGAGGAGGTAGTGATAAATTATGAAGATAAACAGTGTTATTTACATAGTTACCTTCAAAGGGAGAAACAGAACAGAAAATGTACACAGCAGTTTATTCATTAATTACAATAGCAACTTTTACAAGATGTGCTGAAGAAAAAAAACGGCTACTATAAAAGCCTAAAATTAATAAATAGTGTTGAACATGGTTGTATCTAAAAGGTAAGACAAACAGAACAAAGGAATCAAAAATGCATATAAAGAAGCATCTGAGTCACTTACTTTAGCAGAGCGAGTGATTGATGAGATCTCAGAGTAAAGGTCTGTCGCATCTGGGTAGTTTTCCACCACAAAATTGCAGGTATGATGAAGCAGAGACTGCCTGTGTACTGTGTCCTTCACCTCAGTAACCTTCTCCAAATAACTGAGCTCAAAGCCCTTAGCCTGCCAGAGAGACAAGAAGTGACAATTAAAGTCATTATGTGACGTTCAATGAACTACTACATTAGCTTTGTTGGAAACTGGTGGCAAAAAAAATATTAAGACAGCTACTCATTAAATCGAGTGGTACAAATTAAAGGACATCATGCTCTGAACAGTTATTAACTGCAGAGTTCAAGAGGTCAGCACAGAAAACGTGCCATGCAGGGTCTTGATCATATCTTATCTTCGACAAGACAAAAGCAAAAGATTAAGACATTAGCACACAGAGCTGCTCTGACTAATCACATGTGTTCATCAAGCTTCAGATTGGCGCACATGCACTTAATACAGGTGCTGTAAAGGTAACTCTGCTCCTAGGACTCACTGCGGAGGAGATGGAGCACTTACATTGGAGCTATTGAGGAAGTTTCCAATGGCCAGTAGTGTTGCTAGGATACGCTTGAAGGTTTTGTTCTTGGCAAGTTGTTCCATACCCAGTTTCAGGTCAAAAAGAGGCTCTGCAATCTCCTGCAACATTCATGTGTGATGGATAGAAGAATGACAGAGAAAGAGAGAGATTGTGAATGAATGTTTGGTAATGAAAGCCCCACTAAACACAAAGTCATTACCAATCAAGGACGGCAGAACTCAATTGAAGAAGCCTAAAATGACTAAATTCCTACTGTCAGAGCTAGAGTATAATGATCAGACAGAATGCAGTACTGAAACACACCAGGGCTATGAATAAGCCTTAAATTGTGACAAAATACACCCGTGTTCTATAGACAGTTACACGTATTAATTATAATAGTGGTAAACAATGCTTTGACCAATTAATATAATCCATTACCTGTATATCTTTAGGGTGCCAAGCAATGCAGCATTAGGTGTTTATATGAGCAGTTATTACAACCGCTTCAAATGCAGCTCATCCAATCAGACTTCACAGCGGGAATCAGATTTATATATATGAAAAAATAAGAATAAGAATAATCTAATGCTTACAAATACATTACCGAACGTTTGGGGTCAGGCTTTTGTTTTGTTTTGTTTTTGAAAGACATTAAATTGATCATAAGTGAAAGTTTAAAAAATCTGTTATTTTGAACTTTCTATTCATCAAATACTGATATAAAATTTATCGCAGTTTCCAAAAAATATTAAGTAATGGCTGCTGAAAAATTCAGCTTAGCCATCACAGGAATCAATTACTTTTTAGAAAATAAATTAACAGTTATTTTTAGTTAAAAATGGATAATTAAAACAGATATTTTAACAGGACTGTTATGGAGTATTAAATGTCCACCTCTGCATGGCAATTAACTTAGACTAGTACTAACATATAGTAGCAAACATATACCAACATATAACTGTTTAGCTCATTAATCCTTTTATTATGATCATGCTACTGGAGAAAACTTAATATAAAAAGAGGATTTATTGTCATAGGGCTCTGACCTTCTCCAGGGTCTCATAGTTCAGTTTAAAGGCCCAGAGCTGTAATCTGGCCGTAAGGCCACTGATGGAGGAGAGAGTGAGCAGAAACTGCTCTGCTGTACCCAGCGGTATATCAGGGTTAGCCAGCTGTGCCTCCTGAATCTTCTGTTTCTCTTCATCTGTTGGAGTCATGGTCAGGATTTTCTACAGGTGGATGGAAGCAGAAGATATTTTACATCAGATTTGTACTGTACAAATTAATCATCTGAATCTTTATTAATTTCACATGAATTATAAAAAAAAGAAAAAGAAATAAATTGTCTGATATTTATGTTTAATACATAAATGAGGGAATGTTTAAAGGGATGGTTCACCCAAAAATGAAAATTCTGTCATTAATTACTCACCCTCATGTCGTTCTGAACCCATAAGACCTTCGTTCATCTTCGGAACAGAAATGAAGATATTTAAAAAATGTATGAAAATTCTGTCATAAATTACTCATCCTCATGTTGTTCAATTTATGACAGAATTTTCATTTTTTTGGGTGAACTATCTCTTTAAACAAATTAAATGAGCTACTACTGCCCCCTGGTGGATGCTAGTGCTACATTACCTCAATGCCCTCTTTACTGATGGCAAACTCATCAAAGGTGAGGATGGCACTTTTGATGACATGTATAGCAGGCAAAACAGTCATGCCGATGTTGATGGCATTGCTCCTCTTAGGATCAAGCACTAAAATTGCTGCTTTCTTGGTCTCAGCACCTTTCTGTAGGAATAGGATAAAACCATTTATAGCATGCACTGGCCATAAAAAAAAAAATCAACTGATCAAAAATCAATGGATCAACTGCTTTTAAAGTTCCCTCGCAGTAATTTTAAATCGAAAGGAGATCATGCTTTTTCTGTGGTAGGTTCCAAACTTTAGAATAGTCTCCCATTCCACGTGAGGTCAGTTTCATCAGTTGCCACCTTTAAGTCTTACTTTATACCTTTTTTTTTTGTTAGATTTTGAATAAACTGTTTGTTGTATGTAATATTAAATGTTGATTTTTGCTGTTGTAAAGCACTTTGGGGCTGCGTCTGTTGTTTATAAATGTGCTATATAAATAAAATTTGCTTACTTATAAAAAAAATCTGTAGCTTTAACATTTATTCATCCATATATTCAATAGCAGCATTTCCCCAGTGAGGTGACCAATCATCTTTTAGTAGTTAAATGGCTTTAGTAAATTGATAAATGGTAATTTTTTGTATAACTCTGAATAGTTTATTCTTAAACAAGTTTGCCGGTTTGTGTTGTCTGGCATACATATGCTCTATTTGTTACTTGTACCTGTATGTATAAGATACATAAGATTGTAGACCTTCACTGTATTTGTATACAAATGTGCAAGGATAAATTTGTAAAAATAAAAACTAATAATAATAATAATAATTCTTCTTATTAAAGAATTTAAATATCAAGGAAAAAAATGTTTGCCTGTCGCACCTTTGCTACTGGAAGATCCTTTCCTTTGGACTCAAACAGGTGCTCCAGCTTAGCTGTATCGACTGCAACCTTATCAAGTGAAGCCCAAACTGTGCCCCGCCCAAACTTGCACTTCCTGGGGCTATCGGGCTGCTTAAGCTCCTTCCAGAACAGCTTGACTGTTTTCCGTTTATTTAGAAAAGCCGGATCATTTCCTTGAGACAGGGATGGAGGGAGGAGTCCTGGAGGAGGAGGAGGCACACTCAAACCTCCAGGAGGAGGTGGAAGAGGAGGGGGTGGAGCCAGACTAGCAGGTCCAGGAGGAGGAGGAGGGGGTGGCGGCGGTGGGGGAGCTGAGCCCAGTCCTGGCACTGGAGGCGGAGGTGGCGGTACTCCATTAGGCAAGCCGGTGTCAAAAGTGTCTATATCCAGCACATCGATATCCTCCTCATCCATCAGATCGGAGAAGTCAAGATCTTTAATCCGCAGGGGTCTGGAGCTGGGCTGCAGCTTCTCCCAGGCATCCTGACTACCCCTGGATAATGGCGTCATCATTGTCTTCTCTAAACTCTGTGAATGAGTCTCAGCTTCAATACTGTATTGCGGATGCAGCTTCTTGTTCTGTCCCTCCGCTAGCCTGGCACGAGCGGCCTGAGCAGTGCCTTCAAGGCTCTCCAGCTCCGCCCGCCTGGATGTGTCCTCTGTGGGCTGAGAAGTGTGAGACTGCAGTCTCGAGAGCCGTCCGGCCATACTGGTGATCCCATGGTCCTCAAGTGCACTTTCCAGACTAGGACTTTTTATGCCTCCAGAGGAGTTGTTGTTTTTGGAGTAGAGCATATCCAGCATGAACTTCCTGTCATTAGAGAGGGTGCTGTGCTGTTCCGCTGCACTGCCCTGACGCTGCAAACCACCCTCTAGAGGAACCATAAAAATATGTGCTGAAGGAAAAATATTAGGTATACACAATATATCAGTACCATACAGTATAGATTACTGGTGTTTTTTGTATTATTATTTATCAGTATCGGTCGATATTGAATATTTTTTATGTATTTAGTATTTTATTTAACATAGACAATGGACATGACTGGCCAAGAATTATCTACAGAGATAAATTTCATCTGCAGTCAATGGACTACAGATGAAAAGGCGTATTATGGTAGTACTATAATAAACATTGTTACATGTCTAAAATAAATGAGTATTAAAAAGCAAACAAAAAATGCTACATTGAATATATACATAGATTATACTGAATATATAATTGTGCATGCTCATTAACTTGTAATTTTTAGCATCATTTGTAGCATTTACAATGACTGATTTGAGTTTTTATTGTTTTACATTCAATTTATTTAAAATTCTACACCAAATAGTACAGAATTTTAATATCGGCCATGTATCAGTTTTCGGTCATAACATGAAAATTAATCTGCTTATTGATGTTGGTCAGAATTGTTATATTGTGAATTCCTAGAAAGTACAGTATGCAGCATAATAGTGTTGCCATCTGCACTGTAGTTAAGCAATAATCTTTCTTTCAGAATAACAGCTGCAGGCTAAAAGAGACATCCTACCTTCAAAATGCCCAGTGCAAGCACAGATCATGTTGTTCCCACATGCTACCATCCTCTAGCTTCAGTAACCCAGTGCAGACGAACAACAGTAACTCCGCTGAGGTCTAACAGCATTGTAGTGCCAACTGCCTAAAACCTCAATAAGCCAAAACGGAAACTGAAAAAAGGGGAGATCCCCATCTCAAAATCTAAACAGTTTACATCTCTGCCCTCTACTTCAGCTAATTTATACTCCCTGGATGAAAGGCCTGTTAGTGGCTGTGTCATTTGGAACACGGCCACTAGAGGAAGAGATGGAATCACTCTCAAACATTTCCACTTTGAAGATTTATGCTTGAAATAAAGTTCTTGACTTCCCAAAGAAGCCCTCACACAGAAGTGCTTGACTATTGCTCAGTGTCAGAGATTTTCAATGGGCAGAAACCAGGTTAAGAAACCTATTGGTCAATAGATGCTTAGTAGAAGAAAATAGTTGCTTATTAAATTTAAACAAAATATCTCAAAAAGCCATGTCTGCTCGACATAAGTGTTTGGAAATACAACTGAACTCTTGTTTAAAGTGCCCCTATTATGCCATTTTTAAGGTTCCTTCCTAATATTGTTTTGGGAGCCTCCTACAACAGGTTTACATGCATGCAAGGTCAAAAAACACTTTCGTTGTCTCGTAATATACATTTAATTTCACCGCAATTCTCAATGATTCGTAAACGATTCGTACGAAGCAGTTCTGAGATACAGTCTCTCTAAACCCCTCCTTTCCGTGAGCCTACTCTGCTCTGATTGGTCAGATGGCCCAGTCCTTTGTTATTGGTCTACCGTGTACAGCGCGTGTCGGAAACGAAACACCCATTGCCATAACTGAACTGACAGCTCCGGAGAGAATGTATAGAGAGAAAAGATGCTACACTGTTTCATGGTGGTTCAAGTTGTTTGCGGCCGGACAACGTAGAATATAGGCTGGCATTATGCAAATGTGTTACCCAGTGTCGTGTAGCCATCATGGAAATGGGATTATAATTCCTGACGACTCGTTTAGGTGATTCAGAGTCGATTATTTTATTTGAGAGACAATAACTTTATTTACCGTGCACTGTCGGCTTCACAACTTTGCAGATAGTTTACATTCACATACGACTACATTACACACTGCATGAAAGGCAATATTCAAAATGGCATAATAGGGGCATTTTAAGAGTGACGGCTGGCTAAGCTTTGAAGTAGGTATGTGGAAGACAATGTTTGTTCACGTCATAGGCAGACAGAGAGGCAGTATGAATGACAGAGACGGAGGGTTGTGGTGGGAATGGAATCTCTTGCCTGCTTCATTGTGGGCTGCTGTTGTGTCCTCTGGCTGCTCCAGGGTGTGCCTGGTCAAGTTTACCCCTTGAGACCCCGGACCACTAATAGATCCTGCAAGACACATTGGAAAACATTGAAAAAAACACAACTTCACAAAGAAAGATCCAGCAGTGCCTAAACCGTACAAAAACTTTATATAATTCCATGCAAAAGTTCCTATAACAGTTGTGAATATGTGACACCTCATGAAGCAAACTATTAATATCCAAAAGACAGTCCTGTCCATGCTGCTAATCTACTTTACACATCTTCTCAGTTTTGGTTTGAGAAAATGTGTTTGTTAAACCAGGATCACACAGTCGCCACAGGAAGTTCATAACAGTTAACAGTGCTGTTTTAGTATTATTTATACACTATTATGGTATTTATTTTTTATTTTGAATTTGCTTTAATTTTAATGTTTTCTGTTTTAATTTTAAAACATTAAGTTCTAGTTGTTGTGTTATGTGCCTTTGTCATATTTAATGTATTTTTAAAGGGGTCATATGATGTGATTTCAATTTTTCCTTTCTCTTTGGAGTGTTACAAGCTCTGGATGCATAACGAAGATCTGTAAAGTTGCAAAGACTAAAGTCTCAAATCCAAAGAGATATTCTTTATAAAAGTTAAAGAGTCGGCCACACCTACCTAAAACGGCTCGTTCTAACACGCCCCAACATACCTACGTCGCTCTGTGGGAAGATTTGCATAACGCCGCCCAAATGTTCACGCAAAGAAAGAAGACCTAACTTTATTCTCGCTGTAGTTTTGTTGTTGCCGCTGCCGCCATGTCGTG